CTCAACCGATTTACCAAGTGACAATCCCAGAGAACGTGCCCCCTGGCACCCAGCTGCTTACTGTAAGAGCTAGCGACCCGGATGAGGGAATCAATGGAGAAGTGGCATATAAATTCTGGAAAATCAGTGAAAAACAATCTCCGTTATTTCAGCTCAACCAAAAAACTGGGGAACTATCAACAGCAAAGAGTCTAGATTATGAAGAATGTGCATTTTATGAAATGGAAATACAAGCAGAAGATAGTGGAGGGTTGAAGGCATGGACGAAAGTCCTCATTTCGGTGGAAGATGTAAATGACAACAGACCCGAAGTGATCATTACATCTCTGTTTAGTCCAGTTAGGGAAGATGCTCCTCAAGGAACAGTAATCGTTCTTTTCAATGCTCATGACCAAGACTCTGGGAAGAATGGTCAAGTTGTTTGTTCCATCCAGGAGATCCTATCTTTTCAATTAGAAAAGTCAATAGAAGATTATTATAGAGTGTTGACATCCCAAATTCTCGACCGAGAAAAAATCTCTGAATATAACATCACAGTGACTGCGACAGACAGAGGAACACCACCCCTGTCCACAGAAATTCACATCACTCTGCATGTGGCTGACATCAATGATAATCCACCCTCCTTCTCTCAGACCTCCTACTCGGGCTATCTCCTGGAGAACAACCTTAGAGGCACCTCCATCTTCTCTGTGACAGCCCATGACCCTGACAGCAATGAGAATGCCCGAATTATTTACTCCTTGGAGGAAGACACCATCCAAGGGGTGCCTCTCTCCTCCTATGTCTCCATCAATGCAGATACTGGTGTGATTTATGCACTTTGTTCCTTCGACTATGAGCAGTTTCGAGATCTTCAAATGCAGGTTAGGGCAAGTGATAGTGGGAACCCACCCCTCAGCAGCAGCGTGTCACTGAACTTGTTCGTGCTGGACCAGAATGACAATGTGCCAGAGATCCTGTACCCCGCCATCCCCACCGATGGTTCCACCGGTGTAGAGCTGGCACCCCGCTCTGCAGAGCCCGGCTACCTGGTGACCAAGGTGGTGGCGGTGGACAGAGACTCAGGCCAGAATGCCTGGCTGTCCTACCGCCTGCTTAAGGCCAGCGAGCCAGGGCTCTTCGTGGTGGGATTGCACACAGGTGAGGTGAGGACCGCGAGGGCCCTGCTGGACAGAGATTCGCTCAAGCAGAGCCTGGTGGTGGCGGTCCAGGACCATGGCCAGCCCCCTCTCTCAGCGACAGTCACACTCACAGTGGCTGTGGCTAACAGCATCCCAGATGTGTTGACTGACTTGAGTAGTCTTGAGATCCATTCCACCCCGGAGTCCTCGGACCTCACGCTCTACTTGGTGGTGGCAGTGGCTTCGGTCTCCTGTGTCTTCCTTGCCTTTGTTATCATCCTGCTGGCGCTCAGGCTTAGGCGTTGGCACACATCACGTCTGCTCCAGGCTTCAGGAGATGGATTGGCTGGCATGCAGACTTCTCATGTTGTGGGCATGGATGGGGTCCAGGCTTTCCTGCAGACCTATTCCCATGAGTTCTCCCTCACTTCGGACTCTAGGAGGAGTCACCTGATCTTCCCTCAGCCCAACTATGCAGATACACTCATCAGCCAAGAGAGCTGTGAGAAAAAGGATCCTTTGTGTCTTTCAGATGATTCAAAATTTCCTATAGAAGACACTCCTTTGGTTCCAGTGAGTTCCATTTTTTCTTTCTTTCTATTATAATTGGTTTTCTCTCCAAGTGTTTGTACTTAAGGTAGGATATGTTGTTAATAACATATTTTTCACCATTTAAGTTTTTACTGGGTCCAATTTTTGTTCTAACATCTACAGAAAGCATTTATTGGTTACATCGCTGACATAATTTGCATTTTCTCATAATAATTCATTGGGTCGATGAAACCTTCCTTTTGGGACTGCTCTCATGATCTGGGGTTAACATGAGTTTTTTTGATGGGGATGCTTTATTAGTTATCCTGGTTCACTACTAATTTTAAGGCTGGTTTTCCATTCCTGAAACTTATTGTTATCTCCAATGGCCACATTGTGGAATTCTTGTTTTTTTAAAAAGATTACTATAGTCAATACTATCCTGTAAGGGTAAATTAATGAGAAGGCAAATGCATTCTCTCAGAGAAACAACTGAAGGTCCAGGTTTACTGCTTCTGCTTTTCTATTTCTATGACAGGACAACACCCCTTTGAGGTGACTTTTTCAGTCTAATGTGTGTAGAGATTGTTTGCATTTAAAGATAATTTCTGAGGAAGATCCAAACTTCAGTTATCATATATTTCCAACCCCAATTAAAGCATGTTTTATTCTTTTAATGGTGAAAATTTTAACATCCTTGTTTTCATATTCTCAAGGTTTTAATTCCCTAATGCTATAAGGTCAACTTATTAATAGCTTGAAACTCTTCTTTCCTATGCTTTATACTTGCTCAAGAGGTGTTTCTGAGACTGAACACTCTGAGAGGGGAAAGCAAGGGAAATAAAAAGTACCCTTTGATTATGTTATTTATGGCTCAGTTCTTCAACTTTTGAGGCTAGAAATAAATCTGGTTATGGGAAATGATTTAGGAAAATATTTTCAGGAACTGCTAAGAAGGTTCAAACAATACTTTACTGGCTTTTAGCTATCAGGAAAAGAATAATGTATTGTTTAATTTGATTTTACACATACTTTCAGTTCAAATAATAAATGACACTCTAGGAGGCTTTGAAAATAAGCTTTGCAGTTGACTCAAAATGCTATTTTAGACATGCTGGATACAAAGGCTCATATGTCTGGGAATCTATTATGGCATGCAGACATTATAATTATTTCAAATATTCTCTATTTCTAATGTAATAGGAAAAAAGTAAACCATCATCTGTAGTCATATTTTTAACCATGCAGTAAGGCAATCTTTTGGTTAAAGCTTCTTCCCTGGGGACTAATCTTTATTACTTAGTATTCACCAATATTAAAATATGTATTAATTTGAAAATGGCTATTGATGAAGGTTTCTGTGTCAAGGTAGGTAACTACTATTCTTTAGGAAAAAATGTCACTGCCTTTAAAGAAGAACACAAGTATCACTGGAGGAATGACTGTACAGAGTGTGGAAAATCTTAAATTATAGTTTTCTTAAACTAGGTAGGACTTCTGCACGGGTAACAGATTATATAATAGAATATGCTTAAAGATAAAAGTCTTTTTAAAAAAAGATAAAAGTCTTATCACCTCAATGTCTCATCTTAAAAGAAGTTAATTAAAATATCTTGGATTTGCTTCAAAATAATGAGAGAAGGAAATATATATTCAACAAAGCTGGTCTTTGTTGATCATTGTTGCATTTGGGTGATGGGTATATGAAGATTCAATAATAAGGCTCTCTGCTTTAGTATAAAATTGAAGTATTCCATAATAAATTTCGTGAAAACACTAAGTATATAGGCATCCGATGTAAACAAAAATTGGGGCCTATTATATAACTGCACTTTTGAAGAGAGAGATATATCTTCTGGAGATAAATTGGATTCAAGACTAAAATGCCAGACTGCAGTTCCACACGGAGACTCTGGGCGCCGCTGTCGGCCAGTGCAGGGCGAGCGCTGACGGCCGGCATTCTTCAGCCTCTAGCCTGGGATTTCCTGCGCAGCAACCAACACACAGAGAAGGAAACAGGCTACCACAGTGGGGCTCCTGGCCGCGCAGACTCTCTTCAGCCCGAACGGATTCCCAGCTCTGTCCTGGGACGAATGCTCTTCCCGTGACACTGTGGCTTGCGTTTCTTCGGCTTTCCGGAGAGACTGGGACCCAGCGAGAACTAGAGCGCGCGATGGGAGGGAGCTGCGCGCACAGACGCGGGGCCGGCCGGCCGCAGGTACTGTTTCCCTTCCTGCTGCTTTTGTTCTACCGCGCGTTCTGCGAGCCGATCCGCTACTCCATTCCTGAGGAGCTGGCCAAGGGCTCGGTGGTGGGGAATCTCGCCAAGGACCTAGGGCTCAGTGTCCAGGAAGCGTCAGCTCGGAAGCTGCGGGTTAGCGCGGAGAAGCTGCTTTTCAGTATAGACAGGGAGAGCGGGGACTTACTGGTGAAGGACCGAATAGACCGCGAGCAGATTTGCAGAGAGAGGAGAAGATGTGAGTTGCAGTTGGAAGCCGTGGTGGAAAATCCCTTAAACATTTTCCATATCATTGTGGTTGTTGAGGATATTAATGACCATGCTCCTCAGTTCGATAAAAAGGACATACATTTAGAAATTGTTGAGTCTGTATCCGCAGGTGCACGAATATCCCTTGACCCTGCCACTGACCCCGATATAAACATGAACTCAATTAAAGACTATCATATAAATCCTAACTCTTACTTCAAGTTAATGGTTAGAGTTAATTCCGATGGTGGCAAATACCCAGAGTTATCTTTGGAGAAACCCCTAGACCGGGAGGTGCAGCGGTCTCATCGCTTGATACTAACGGCCTTGGACGGAGGGGACCCGCCACGAAGTGCCACCGTTAGAATAGAAATTGTTGTCAAAGACACCAATGATAACCCCCCGGTGTTTAGCAAAGATGAATATAGAGTCAGTGTAAGTGAAAGTCTGCCCCCTGGGTCCTCCGTGTTGCAGGTGACAGCCACTGATCAGGACGAGGGGGCCAATGCCGAAATAAGCTACCACTTCAGGAGCACTGCTCAGAGTACAAGGCACATGTTCTCACTGGACGAGAAAACAGGCCTGATTAAGAATAACCAGTCATTGGATTTTGAGGATATGGAAAGATATACCATGGAAGTGGAAGCAAAGGACGGAGGTGGGCTCTCCGCCCAATGTAAAGTAATAATAGAAATCCTAGATGAAAACGACAACAGCCCAGAAATAATCATCACGTCTCTCTCGGATGAGATTTTGGAGGATTCCCAACCAGGAATGGTCGTGGCCCTCTTCAAAACACGGGACTGGGATTTCGGAGGAAATGGCGAAGTCATGTGTAATATAGAAAGAGACGTTCCTTTCAAGATTTACTCCTCTTCTAATAATTACTACAAGCTAGTGACAGATGGGGCCCTAGACCGAGAACAGACTCCAGAATACAACGTCACCATCACAGCCACTGACAGGGGCAAGCCGCCCCTCTCCTCCAGCACCACCATCACCCTGCACATCACTGACGTCAACGACAACGCCCCGGTTTTCCAGCAGTCAGCCTACCTGGTCCACGTGCCAGAAAACAACCCGCCCGGGGCCTCCATCGCGCAGGTCAGCGCCTCCGACCCCGACCTGGGACCCAACGGCCAGGTGTCCTACTCCATCGTGGCCAGCGACCTGGAGGCACGGGCGCTGTCGTCCTACGTGTCCGTGAGCGCGCACAGCGGGGTGGTGTTCGCGCAGCGCGCCTTCGACCACGAGCAGCTGCGCGCCTTTGAGCTGACGCTGCAGGCCCG